ATCGAAGTCAAAATGTGTACCGAAGGTGCATATTAAGATTAAAAGTAATTATATATCATAATATAATTTTGTAAATAACCTGTGTATATTTTCTGTTAAGTATTGATATCGACAGATAATATAATGAATCACAAATAATGTTTCTCGAAGAAGAATATTGCGAGGTCGAACATTGTGAGAAGTTACGATCCCGAGAAAAATACCAAAATAATCGACTCTAATAAAAACCGTTTTTCCGACATATGGCGGTCATAACGAAACGTTAATGACCATCGATTACATCCTCGTAATTACCACGATAAATCGGAAGTCCCACCGGTACAATGCATCCCTCTCGACATCGTTACGATTTTTCTATCATCCCCTTTATTTTCGAGGGAGCCTCGTGTTAGAAATTGAATGCCTTCCACTCTCATTGATAAAGTATACAGAGGAACGAATATAATAACATATTTTATAGATTTCTTTTTTTTTCACTTGTTTCTTACACAAGTGAAATAGTTTGACGGGGACAGAAAGAGAGAGAGAGAGAGAGAGAAAGAGAAAGATTACCGCTTATTTCTGCTTAATAACAATTTCCCCCGCGCACCCGCGACTCGTGATGAAACGAGCGAGCCGATCGAGCCGACGAGAGAAAAGAAGAACGTGGAAGCGCGTCTATTCCAGGCGAAGACAAAGGTGTCAGTTCTTTGGAGAATATCTCGGAAGCTGAAGCGTCAATCCTTTCGATCGGACATCCGAGAGTAGAGGGTGCCTTTGTTTTTGTCTCTGCTCTTCATTCTGTCCTCTTACATCCCCGTTTTCACCCCTCGCCCCCGTACTCCGCTTGCCTTGCTCTCCCCGTCTTTCTTCGTCCCTTTCATCGTTCGCCGTTCCTTCGAAAGGGAGTGGCAAGGATCGACAGAGCCAGCGAGGAATCAATTATGAAACTTTTCAAATTTGTCAGTAATATTGAGATTTCTTTTATGCCCGGGAAGCTCATAATTGAAATCTATCGGAGAACGAGGAGCTGGCCCTCGGTTCAAGAGGGATGATCTTTTTGTTTTTCGCTCGGCCATTGTTTCCTATTGCTCGGGCCATCAGGATCGCCGTCTCTCCGCCAGTTTCCGTTTGTCTCTCTCGCTTCTTTCTGCTGGCTGGTACGCTTGCACGCTCGTTTTGTAACGAACGAGCGTGCAGACGATCCTTCCGTGCCTCGTAAATATAATAGCTTTCGTTCGATTTCGTCCATTTACAGCTCTGTGGGTATAATCCATGAATTGGCAGAGAATCGTCACCTGTAAGCCAGCCGTTTCGTAAAATCTTATCGCTTTGTTGCGGTGCTTGTCGCGTGTTTGACGCAAATGAAGCCATCGAGGGACTGTTTTACAGATTTCGGCTGGGAAATGGATGCGTTAAAGCGTTTCCTTTGCATTGCTCTGAAACTATAACTTTATTTGCCACGTTAACTGCCTTCGAAGAATAATAGATTCATATTCTAGTAATGTTTCTTCGTTATTAATATCTTTTATAATAATAATACTCTCTTAATATTAAACTCTTATTACATATGTTTTCCACGTTAATTGTTTTTACAAAATTATAGACAGGTACTATTTTCTATTAATATTTTTAATAATATTCATCGAATGAATCTTAATAAATCTTTTAACATCTGCCGCTGAAAATTTGAAATTTTCCATTCAAATTTTCATTCTGACTCAAGACACAATTTAAACGGTTATTTTTTTTCTTTACTTTTAAG